GTAACTATTTTGCACATTATACGGTCTCACATCCAACAAGACGGTAATGTAGGCCTGTCGGCCTGGCCACGTTCATCTGCAACACTTGGAGAAACCTTGAATGGATTTTCATGAATCCTAAGCGTCTTGAATCGATAGAGGGCGACTCAGAGGAAACTTCAGCGTCCTCTCATCATCACCGCACCATAAATCCAAGGACCAGAAGCGGATACTCGCTCAGCCGGTAAAGAAGTTCACTGAATTTTATAGAATCTGAAGGCTCGCCATTTTCACAAGAGGACGCTGCTGGTAAAAAAGGGAAAAGATATCCTTGTAAGAGGCCGTAGATACCTGGAGGACGTCGACGTTCCCATATTTTCTAGAAAATCGGCTCACAGATAGCGGTGATATTGTGAACTTTACCCCTTACCGACTGCCCTTTACCCTCAGGAAGATTCCTAGTACTCATTTCTGTTAGAGGCTGAGTCGACCCCAGTGCCATAGCGCGACCGGAAGGATTAGGTCAATTGAAAAATCCAATAACTTCACTGTGATTCGAACCCACGACCTTCCGGCGTGTAGCATTCTGCCTCAACCACCTACGCTACCGTTTTCTCCGCACGCCACTGGACCCTAACATACACCAGATAAATCTAGTTCACAACCTCACAAACTATTCCCTCAAGATGCATTTGAATATTACATTTCCACCTATGTTCATGTCTGCTAAACAGTTTCTTCTCTTCACTTCTCTAACGAAAATTGTTTCAGAGAATATGCCTGAGCTTTTCACACACCTGACGACTCAGCCTCTAGCAGAAATGAGTACCTGGAATCTTCCTAGGGTTAAAATGCGGTCGACGCGAAAGGCTGATAACCTCATCGCCATATGTGAGTCGATTGTCTAGAAGATGTGGGACCCTCGACGTCTCACAACCCTATGGGCCTCCACGGCCTGTTACGGGGATAGCTTTACCCCTTTTTAATTCTTATTTATATGCTGCTTCCCTTATACAGAATATACGACCAATATATTTACTCGGTAAACGTAGAAGAAATATATGGAGTTCAGTCAACTTAAATCAGAAAGAATGGAACAAAACCCCCTCTTTCACATTCCCCGGGGGATAGAACGCTAGTCGCTTTTATATCTTTTTGCATGAGAGTGGAGGTTTTGTTGCGTCATAGCTGTTTGGTACGAAGTTACCACGCTTCTCTCTCTGCGACGGGTCCAGGACATTTCGCTCGACAGATATCATCCGCGTACGAGCGATCTCGCTTCCAGACAAACGTCCGTATGCTCGAAACAGCTTTGGTATTTCAAAATGTCAGAGAAAATATATGCGTACTTTATTCATCGTCGCTTCAAAAATCCTATCATTTCAATCTGTATCTTCCATCAAATTTGCTTTTGTTAGCATGGGCAGTTGTTTGAGGCACTATGCTACAAGAGGAAACTTCGGGGGTTCGACTCCCGATGAGGTCATTCGATTTTTCAATTGACCTGGTCCTTTCAGCCGTACTATGGCCCTGGGGTCGACTCAGCCTCGAACAGAAATGAGTACCAGGACTCTTCCTGGGGGTAAAGGGCGGCCGGCGCGTAAGGTTGATAATCGCAGCGTCATCTGTGAGCCGATTGTCGAGAGAATGTGGGAGTCTCGACCTATCACAACCTTACGGGTGTCCACGGTCTGTGACAGGGATAGGTCTACCTTTTGGCCTTTTTACATACAAATACAAAACGGTATCTTCCTAAACATATGTCCTCATTCACCATAGCAATAGCTTGCCATATGCATGCAATTTCAGAAGTATTTGTCTTACTGGTGAATAAAAGCAGAATATTCACCGAACAGGCTCGGGGATCGATGAAGCTGTAGGCTTGTATTCGGAAGGTACTTTATTCAAATCTCGGCTGCAACGTCGGTTACCAGGACTTAACGATGTTCGTGTTTTGCTGAGTCCCTAAACGCAAATATCGGGATAGCACTTCAAGTAGGCCAGGACCACTTCAATCAAAATCTTTTTACAATTCATCGTTCCTCTATCATCCTACCATTTGACTCTATATACTCGATACTGAAAGTGTGACTAAATAAATAAATAAAAACAATATTTAAATAAGCAAAACTCGATGTATTAAGACGGCGGAATTCTGATTTCTGACGTCTTACTTGCACACTATACTCGTGCAGCGTCGAATGGTACGACAATATGGAATGGTGATCCTGTACTATACTGGCATCTGCATGGAGGGGCTGAGGAATACCATGAAACCAACACTCAGCAAAGCCAGCTTCCTGGCCGGTATTCGATTCGACAACCTCCTGAACATGAGACCTATACGCGAATCCCTTCGGTGACACAATTCCTTGTCTGAGGCTTCTCAACTGCACATTTGTCTCAGCTCTGATATTCCTCTATTATGGGCCAAGATGTGCGAAATAGCTTTTTACATATTTAACATTCTGTAGTTCTGGTCTTACCTCGCACAATCTGGAAATTGTTATGCAGCCTCTTGTGCTTTATTACCTCCAGAAGTTACGTCTTAATTTGGGAAGACAAGCCGAGCGGAAAAATGACTGTTCCGGAATATTGTATTACTCGCCTTGATGGAAGGGTGGAATTTTAATTAGTAAAGTTCAGCTGCATAGAATTGCTGTCTCCGTAACGGAACTTCACACACAGTTCCTCTTTAAGCCCTTACAGAACAGTGGTAACAATATGCACCTGCGGCTTTAAATTACAAGACTCTGTATTTTTTTTACATGCCATTTTTATGTTCCGTATGATTCTCAAAATAACAGTGATTATTTCCCTAAACAGCATTAACCGGTTGGGCTTTGTAGCGGAGACGTAATATGTTTCCTGTGAGGTACGGACTGAATTTATATACGAATATACTGCATTCTGCCCACACCGTGTATTTGTGTGTTCCGTATGATTCTCACAATAAACAGCGATTATTTCCCTAAACAGCATTAACCGGTTGGGCTTTGTAACGGAGAAGTAATGTGTTTCCTGTGAGGTATGAACTGAGCTCATGTATATCGAGGGTTTGCCACTTTAATGTGACAGCAGATATAGAAATATGATTTAGGTGCCTTTCTTTGTACATTCAGAACTTGAATTTGCCTTGCATGAAATATAAATACTTCTACTGGAATTGCGAAACCGAAAGGGAGAAACCCACTTATACGTAGTGTGTTCAAAAAGTATCGAACCTTTTGTCGGCAGGAATACATTTAATGATCTGGAGGTACAAAACCCTAATCCCCTTCAAAGTAGTCACACTTCTCCCAGCGCTTCCGCCATTGTTGGAAACTCTTTTGGAACGCGTCTTTTGGAATGGTGATCAGCCGGGCCGTCGCATTCCGCGTGATGTCTTCTCTTGACTCAAATCGGGTTCCTTTCAGCGGCATTTTCAGCTTGGGAAATAGCCAAAAGTCACACGGAGCCATGTTGGGGGAGTAGGGAGACGAACCACAGGGATGTTGTGTTTGGCGACGAAAGGCTGAATCAGATGCGCAGTTTCGGTACGAATTTCGCGGACACTCTCCTCATGCCCAAATCTTCGGTCAAAATTGAATGTACCGATCCTATGCTTACCCCTATCTCGTTCGTAAGTTCTCGGACTGTGATACGATGGTCCTCCATGACCAAAGTCCGCACTTGCTCGTCATTTCGGCTTGTTGAGGGTCTGCCTGAACGCGATTCGCTGTCCACTGATGTGCGTCCATCTTTGAAGCGGTTGTACCACTCCTTTTTCCGTGAGTTGCTCATGGCATCGTCCCCGAAAGCCTGTTGAATCTTGCGAATGGTTTCAAATTGGGTATCGCGAAGCTTTTGTCAAAATTTGATGCAATATCGCTGCTTATGTTGTTCCGTCATTTTACACCTTACTGGAATCCCACGAGCGCTCAATACACGTCCTCACTCATAGGCCGACTGTCAGCGACTGACGCTTTCTGCGGGCGGGAAAAAATTCACGACTGCGCATGAATGTCCCCTCCACATCTCCACCGAAGGGAGTCTCCCGCGCTTCATTGGTTTACGCGGGAAAAAAGAAGGCTCGATACTTTTTAAACACACCACGTATAAGCATATGTGCAAGGATAATATTGAAATGAATTTTAAAGAAATACAATGTATGAGTGCGGATTGGATTCACGTGTCTCAGGATATGCTCCAGTGGCGGTTTCTTCTGAGAACTGTATCAAATATTCGGGTTGCGTAAAAGAAAAGGGATTTATTACAAGCTGAGCGCCTATTAGTGTCTTCATTGAGTTGTCTGCTTGGGTTATATCATTAAATTAGACGCTGTTAAGGGAGTAGAATTATTATTATTATTATTAATTATATGTTCAGAAAGCCGATCACAGTGACCGTGCAGTCTAAGGCATTAACTGTCTTCCCCCGTTCGAATACTGGGATCGTGGGTTCGAATCCCATTTGAGGCATGGATATCTGTGTGCGTTTATTCTGTCTGTTCTGTCCTGTGTGTATGTAACGGCCTTGCGATGGGCTGAACTCCCGTCCAAGGAGTCCTACAAACTGTGAAAAGATCAAGACACTCAAAAATCAACAAAGGGCTGTAGAGCCATAGATAGATATGTTCTGAAATACGTAACAAAAGCTGAAATATTTTAGGCCTGCAGAACAAAAGGGCATCATTGTTCCATTCTTGTGCTGGGTATGCACATACGAGTAAGTGCAAAATCTGAATTTGTCATATTCCCGAACCATTGAACATTTTGACATTAGTATTTTGCATATTTCTTTCCTTTGGACAATTCCTAATTTTTTTTTACATAAATTCAGGATGGTAGAGACGCTTGGCTCTTGCCCCTTTCGGCACCCATTCTTGCTTCACATCTCCAATTCATTATAATAGATTAATTCAACTCTACACCAGCTATGTCAGAGATAGCGTAATTAAATAAACAAGTAAATATACACATTATAGTATACATGTTATGATAGGCTTAATGGTTGACGAGCAAGTCGGGCTGCCAACTCACATGAAAGATCTTCTCTACGTGTTCCTTAGCCGAATGCTCCTCCACGACCGGTTCCGTGGAGCGACCCAGCATCTCATAGATTGACGTCACCACATCCAGCATCTCATTTTTAGTAATGAGACCGTCTCCATTCAAGTCGTACAGGCCAAATATCCACTGGAGCTTCTCCTGAACACTGCCTCGAGACACTTTGGACAGGATGCCGAGGAAATCCTGAAACAAATTGAGTACTCAGTTATGATGGGACCTGACGAAGTTGTTTGCATTGAAGTCTAGACTGCAGAGATTCTTGACACTGTGCACAGCATACATAGTTTACGAGAACGCGATGTTTCGAAAACTGGATCTGTTGCCGTCCTCAGATGAAAAGGTGGGGGAGATACCTATTGGGCAGGATCCGTTAGAGGGAGGTATATCAGTCAACTGGACCGCCATTCAATGCCGGGACGGCTACATGTCCCGTTTTCAAAGCGATATTTTCAGTAATCTGACGAGGGACAAGGCCCAGGAACTCTGTATTCAGTGCAAGGCAATATTCGGAATGTCCTCCCTCCCTGTTGAGGCCTCAACGTCATGGAAATTGGACAGAGATTAGAATGGACATAGCGCCGTGGTATGTGGTAGTTCCTTTCCAGCGTCTCAGAGGAACCTGCTGGGTCCATCTTCAGGAGAGAAACCTTTACTATCCTGTATTTAAGCATCCTGTTGCATTACTATATACAAAACTGTTTATTGTACTAAACAGTCCGTCAACAATGCAACAAACTGTTCCTTCTTTCTTATATTTTCACTTTAGACACAACATGTTTCGGCCCTAAATGGCCATCTTCAGGTGTCTTACTATGCTAAAACTGCTACACTGCACTAATACTGTCCATTCGTCGCATACGCGACTGCAAGCTTCATGGTTTAAAACGTGATACTCACAGTCAATTGGTATACGCTAGAATAGCACACGTTGTAGTTCACTTAATTTAAATCAACAGAATCTACTAAAATTGTGTATTAAAATTTTCTATTAAAATTTCCTTTAAATTTTGTAAAATTCTTATTGCACCCCACTTGTTTTGATCTGTATCCTTTACTTCAGATGTTTTATTGCGGCAGCTTGTTTTCCATGGAACGGGGTCCACTCAGCCTCGTAAGGATAAATGAGGAGCTATTTCAAAGAAATAGTGGCTGGTCTAGAAACCGGAGATTAACGGCCGTGAGGATCCGTTGCACTGACCACGTGACATCCTCTATCCGCAAAGGTTGGCACTAAATTCGCCGACAAGCGGCGGTCGCTCGGTCGATATAGCTCACTTGCGGACTACAGACCACGGAAAAGCATTTGCTTGCAAACTAGGCGAATCCTGACAGCTGAATGATTAACCTGAACGTGGTGTACAGTCTTCATATGAATGAGCTCTGTTTTGAAAGTTTCTCGAAGCTACTCTCATGTTTTTACGGCTGTAGTACGTCCTCATATTCCAGTGTTACTGGCCACTTTAAGGTTGCGAAATCTCACAGAACAATAATCTGAAGAGATCAGTTTGTAAAAGAAAAGATATAATAAGGGTGAAACACACACTTTATGACATTATTTCAGTCATAAAATGTTATTTTATGGAAATGATCTCATACAAGTATTTCGAGCGGAATACAAACAGCAAAAAATACGCAAACGAAAATATTAACATCTGGGACACCTACTCAGAACATTTTCCTAGATGAATATTTGTATTTTATGAACCTTTAAAACACAGAGACTGCTATATGTACTACCTGTTATAACATTTAGAAACGCTGCATTCTGCCCACACAGTGTATTTATCTGTTCCGTATGGTTCTCACAATAAACAGCAATTATTCCCCTAAACAGCATTAACCGGTTGGGCTTTGTAGTGGAGCCGTAATGTGTTTCCTGTGAGGTACGGACTGAATTTATATATACTGCATTCTGCCCACACAGTGTATTTCAGTTGTCGGAGAGACTTCAGGCAGGAAGGTCGCATACCCAAGCCAGGCCTGTTCTCTTGGCCCAGCGCGGGAGCTCCAAGACATCGAACAGCTTACGGTTCTGAATAACCAGCCCCGTACGTTGCAGACAAAGAGAAGAAAGAAGAGGATTCCAGCTTACGCTTGTGTTCCCGGCGGTACTGCCTCAGTTGAAACCTAACGGTGCCAACGAACGCTGAGGATCCTTTGTAATCCTTACATTCCACCCTTAACCAGTGTTGCAACATCGGTGAATCAGCGCTAGCTTGTAGGAGTAAGTTCAGGTGGGCTTCGGCCCGCCTGCTTGTCGGAGGTTACTGCTGTCACCGGATGATGCAACTGTCCTTGGTTCAGTTCCTTTTAACTTTTAACTTATACCCCGTTCCAAATAGTATTATCACTTCCCTGGTACGCTCGGTGTTGGTGAGTAAACCGTAGCTGCCAGCATGGTGAAGTCCAAGGTCATTAGATTGGACCCCCTAGGCATTAAGAGGGTTATGGACGTTGGAGGCCCCGCAGCCCTAAATACAACCATAAAGAAACCCAGAAAAGTAAATAGAAATAAAGCCGAAAAAAATAAACCATTAGAAAAACCAACCATTTTAACCATAAAACCTAAACACGCGCTCCGGTCCCCAGTGAGCGTAGAGTCCGATAGTGCTTCATCTGAATATTCAGATTCAGAAATGGCATCGATATGGCCGGAAAATAAAACCCCTCCAACTAAAGAAAATCTTAAACAGTCCGAACCAAGCAGACCCAAGTCAGCCTCGCCCGTGATATGCCCTTCTGGCAATCACAGCCTTACAGTGGCTGCAGATGTACACTGTTCCCAAGGTGGAACTAAAGCTGTGAGGCAAGGTGCACAGAAACCTGCTTTATCGGCAAGAGCCTCTTCTGAACCGCCTAATCCAGATGAGATAGCGGAGGATAATGACTTCACTGTCATTACCCCCAAAAAGAGAAAAAACAAAGCAAAAGTAAACCCACCCATAACAGAAGCCGCCATTAATACAGCTTTGCCATCCTCTCCCGCTCCTGAGAGCCGTGTTGCTGGCAGCTCAGAGAAGAGGACCAACTTCCTAACCGCACCCAGAGAGAAAATTCCGCCGGTCGTCATCCACCACCACTTCCAAGGTGACATGACCAGACTTAACAAAGATTTTCACTCCAAATTCCAGCCTATAGGCTTCACAACCTATAGAATGAAAGCTGGCATAGCATGTCAGACTTCAACATACCAAGACTACCTAAACTTACAAAGCTTTTTAAAAGAAAGTAAAGTTCCATTTAACCTGATTAAACACAACGATTCCAAGCCGTACAGGGTGGTTATCAAAGGCATCCCTCCTACCACCCCTCCTAAGGCCATTCAGGATGAACTACTTGCCCTTGGGCTGGCAGGTCAAAACGTCATCCCAATGAACGCTTGGAGAGACAAAACCCCTCTGCCCATGCACATAATTGAGCTAGATAACATTCCACAGAGCCAGACAATTTCGCAGTTGTCCCACCTGTTACATCAGAATCACTGTGGAGCCTTATAAGGGACGCGCCGTGCCGCCTCAGTGCGCACGGTGTCAGCAATTCTATCACGTGGCGGCAAACTGCCAGGCCCCTCCGGCTTGTGCCCACTGTGCAGGAGGAACATTGCTCGTGGCAATGTGAAAAACGTTTTGAACCGAACTTTGTGCCCACGTGCGCTCTGTGCAAAATCGGAGATCACGGCTCCAAGTACAGAGGTTGCCCCTATTTTCGGAACCTCATGGAAAAGGAGATGAGAAATAAACCTCAGCCTGAGAAGTTGAATAATCGCCAGCCTGCTAATGTGGGCAGAGCGCGAAACTCATTTCAATCTATCCATCCGCAAAATCCTCCCTCAAAATCCCTCCACGACTATCCGCATATGAGTCCTGGAAACGCTTGGAGCAGGCCTCTGAACTTTTCCACTTCACAATTGCCACAACCTCCCCCTCCTGCTCCACGTTTAAATCAACCGCGTAACCTTCCGTCCAAATACATGTTTGTACCCCACACGGAACTTCCGCAGTTTAATTACAGACAAGATCCACGGCTTTCCCATAAACTAAGCTGCACTTGCAACTCGCACCCCAACCCTTCAGTAAACAATAACTTTCAACCAGCTGCAAAAGAACCCGTTAACTCTGAAACTGGCATATCTTCGCCAGAACGGAACATACCTGCTTCACCCCCTCCCCCCGGGGCAGGGGACGAGCCTAACTCAGATTCTTCGGTCGCCCCTAATTCTAGGCACTCTGCCCCCAAGTTGTCCAGAACAAAGGGACAAACTCTTACCCAGCAACAAGACACAACACACCCGCGGGAGGAACACAGTTACATTTCTTCTGATCAAAATTTATTGCAGTCGGCAGACAACATGCATCAGCACGGCCATCAGCCTCCCAGACAGAGACTAGGTAACTCGTACACTGAACATCAAACTAGGGAATTTGTCAATTGTGTTCGGGCTTTCAACCCAAACTTTTCCTTTCAGTGCCTTCTGCAAACAATGTCAGTCATGCTCCTGCAATTTATGCAGCACCCATATGAGAGTGCCCTCCCGGTCATATTCAATAACTTCCTAGTCAACCTCCTAGGTCTTCCACATAATGGGTAAGTCCTCACACACCGATATCTTATTCTGGAATTGCAGAGGCATTAAATCGAAAAAATACGAGTTCACAAATTACCTGGAAGCCAATAACATACCCATAGCACTAATAAGTGAAACGCACTTACAGCCATCCACGAAATTTAAATGTCCGAACTACATAACGTACAGGACTGACAGGCTAAACCAGCGGGGTGGCGGAACAGCCATTCTAATACGTCAGGATTTGAAACACTCAGAAATTCTCCTTCCTCGCTTACAACATATGGAAGCTACAGCTATTCAACTCAACATTAATAAGGAATCCATAGTATTAATTTCGGTCTACAATCCGCCAGGAAAAATAATAGAACGTGACTTAGACCTCCTCATAGCAACCGGGCACAAGGTAATTCTTGCAGGCGATTTCAACGCCAAGCACGTAACATGGCGCGCTAGACAGAATAACGCGGCGGGACAATCCCTTTTAAATCATTATTACAAAAATAATTACATAATTTCCGCTCCGTCACAGCCTACGCATTTTCCAGACAGAAACCCTGCAGGGGCGGAAATACTTGACTTTGCCATCCTCAGTAACGTACTGTCACGTCACTCTGTA